GGTTGCTCTGCACTTTAGCTGCTTCTTGTCGATGCGTCGACCCATCTAGACAGCCATTTTGTGAACTTACAGGAGTTGACAGGTTCACCACGATGCTTAGAGGAACTTGCTCCAGCTTCACAGGGAACCACAGGCTTCATTACAGTGAGAGTTGTACACCGGAAGCGGTGAAGCAGCGAGAGTGCAAAATGCCCCCCCCCCCTCCTGTTGCCGAACTGCGCCACAATTTTTTATGCGAATATGTCGGTTTGACAAATCATGCAGCTACCCTTTGTGACTAGGATTTTGATTTCTCCGCCCCGTTAAAAAAAGAACTGACAAAATCCGGGGAAATTTCAACCGAACCCGTCAGTCAAATTGCAGTATTTGATTAGGTAATGAAGAATATGCTTTTTAGATGGTTTCGGTGAACGAACGTCTCCGATGACAGGCGCCGGTGGTGGTGGTGGTGTAGTCGGTACCATTCCGACATCCCTTCTGCCTACCGACTTCGACCCGGAAATGGGCGGTTATCAGCCGTTGCCGTCGATGTACTCCACCGAGTTGAAAGTGCATCCGATGGCGGGTTGGTAGCCGGATGAAGTGCTTCCTGCAGGACTCTCGCACTCCTGCACCCTCTTTGACTCCGTCCTGGGAGGGGTCGAACATTCGCGAGGCTTTAGCTCGATTCGTCGCTTTCTCCTGTCTACACCAAAGTAAATTACACCCTGTCTGTATGCCGTCTATTATGTCAGGTTCTTATAGTTCTAGCATGAACAACGAATAGCCCAATTTTTGCCCTATTTTTTCCAGTCTCACCTTGGAGTATTTCCTATCATCCCAGTTCTTCTCTTCATCCTTGATTTGCCATATTTTCTTTATTTTCATCTTTCTATGATTCCATTTGTTAGCATTATGCGTGCCGCAACATCGATAATCAGTCGTTCACTTCTGAAGCATAAGCTGCTTCCGTGGTTCGCCTCGCGCCGCACATTCACCCACTCCCACATCATCGCTCCGCATTCACGTGGGGAACCACGCCCCTCAGCCGTTTTTCCGCGTCTTCTCAATCATTCAGTCGTGTATTGTGATATACAATATCAGTCTCCCATATCATTTACTCGTGTCCAGGTTATTTGTTTATTTCTGCATGATAAATAATTTATTTCTAGTGTCACTTGTATGTTTGAAGAAGGGCCAATCATCCTACAAGTAAATGTTTATCCTCCCGCACAAGCCTGGTGACAACTGAGTGTTTCCAGGTTAGGGTTGGTTGGCCACGGTGGACAGGGCACATCGTTAATTGGAGATTTTGGTCGAATCCGTACAACACCCCCTCTCCCTGCCCTGAGAGGGCTCGATCGGACCACCTCCCTCCCCCCCCCCCCCAGGTCCCTCCTCTGATACGATCGAGTTGTCGAGCGGAGGGTGATGAGGAGAGGGAGGAGGGAAGGGAGGAGGTATATAGCATATGGTAATTAGGGTGGCCACAGAAAGTCAACAACCTTTCTCAGAAGGCATATGCGCCCCCCCCCCACCTCTCCCCAGGCCCAAGGTCGATCAGTTACGATCTCTTCCTTATAGGCTTCCGTGAAACAAGAAAATCAACTATCAAAAGTTTTTCCTCGGACCAGATACGCTCCCCATA